AGAGAGAGAGAGAGAGAGAAGCATGCTTCATTCTTGGTCCTCAGTGACAGAGAAACTACGACAAGGCATTGAATAGCCATCGTCTGGATGCACCGCATCTCTATTTTCTGCAGTGTGCTCAGCCTGCATAGATAGTTGCATGGTGACTCTGAGGAAGACCCAGACAGGACTGTGAACTTCTGTGCAGGCAGTGTTGTACTTAAAGTTACCCTCCGCTGAAGCACATTCCCTTAAAAACAAATTCCTGGCTAGGTGGTAGTAGTGTACGCCTTTAATCCCATCATCTGGGAGACAGAGGCAGGTGGATGTCTATGAGTTTGAGGCAGCCTGGTCTACAAAGCAAGTTCCAGGACAGCCAAGGCTATACAGAGAAATCCTGTCTCAAAAAAAAAAAAAAATCCTTCTCACAGTATGCTCTGTCCCAGCTTGATGCATGGAATGTCGTCATTGCTTTAAGATGCTGGACTTGAGTGTTAGCTCTTTGTGTCATAAGATCAATAGACTTTGTCCCCTTTCCCCTTTATTGCCACAGGCTGTCAGAGCCTGTGCCAGAACCAAAAATACCAAAACGTGACATGGCACATTAATCCCTATGAGAGACGATACCCATTCATATTTTATGTCAAACAAGTGGGCTAATCAAAAATCCATCCACTGCTCACCGGAAGCGCCCCCTTGCTCGGATCTGAAGGCATCTCCTTAGCCAAAGTACAAGTACCCCTCCCACATGCTCACAGGCAGAGTCTGCTCCCCTCTGGAGCTGGAGTTAAAGGCCTGCTCATCTCCAGCCTCCATCCAACCTGTGAGCCAGTGCCTGCCCTTGAGTGTCCGAATGTTTTAAGTAGAACCCTGCTTTCCACACCAACTGCCCTGAGTACTATGTGAGTGACTCTGAGTGAACATCATCCCCTAGGATGAAGAGACTGTCAGAAATCTTTCCAACTTGGGCCCAGCAGAACCGTTCCTGCAAGGGAAGGTGGTAAAGCAGGAACTGCTCTGCCATTGATGAGGTAGAAACACGAAAATCCACTCTCGACATTCACAAGTGCATCCGTGAAGCGGGCTTCGAGGAGCGCTCAGGGCTGAGGAGATGGCTCTGCAGGGAGCAGCACTTGTCCTTCCTGAGGACCCAAGTTCCATCCCCAGCACCCACATGGTGGCTCACAGCCATTTGTAACTCCAGTTCCAGGGGATTTAATGCCCTCTTCTGGCCTCTGTAGGCACCAGGCAAGATACATAAAATACAAGTGTGCTCTTCGGCCACAAGGAATCTGGAAGGTTACCTGAAGGAGATGGAAACTTCAAATAACGCTGATAAACCAGTTCAACAAAGCTGTTTGTATCAAAAGAATAGAAAACATTCCATACTGTACAGGGGCATTCTCGGTACATCTGTCCAGAATATCTAATGAGATAAGGATTCCCCAAACAAGCTGTATACTTCCATAATTTATGTGCCTCTCACTATGTTCAGTCAGTATGGATGAAAACTGCTGAGAGTCAAAGTCATAAAACTGAAAACGAGGGAGGAGGGAGAAAAGGAAGGAGGAAGACAGGGAGGGAGGGAGGGAGGAAGGGAGGGAGGGAGGGAGGGAGGGAGGGAGGGAGGGAGGGAGGGAGGGAGAGAATTGCTCACAAGAATCATGGCCTCCTGTTGATTACGCTCATTTTTTGAGTGTGATATCGATGTCACATAGGCACGCCTCTCTGCCTTGGCGTCTTGCAGCCACGACAGAGTGCTCCATCCTGTCTGTGCCAGGTCCACCCCTGCTCCCTCAGAAGGCTTATACTTCCTGTCCTGCTCTGTCCTCTCCCTGACCTGCTTCCCAGTTTCTCTTCCTTCTACTGCATCAGTCTAGCAAAGCATTTGCTCGTCCAAAGGACTGAAAATGGAGACCTACAGTCTGATGAAACTTTCACCCATTCATACAATGTATTTTGTTATATCCAACCACCACTGTCTCCCTCTAACTCTCCTGGTCCCTCACACTATCACTCCCTAATTTCACATCCTCCTTTCTTGTTTCTAATAACCTCTGAGTCTGATGAGTGCTGTCCATACGTGCAAGAATCTATTAACAGTTATAGCCCCAAAGGATAGTGACCCCATCGGCAGCCTTCAACTGCTAACAGTTTATCTGCCAATGGTGGGGCCATCGGGCCTCTCCCTGATCCATGCTAGAAGGTTGGCTGGCTTGATCTTGTGCAGGCCTTGTACAGACAGCACAGCTGCTGGGTGGTGATGGGTGCAACAGTCACATCCTGCCCAGAGGGCAGCATTCCATAGCTCTCCAGTCAGCTCTCTGCAATTTCTGCCCATCGTCCACCCTCCCATTATTAACCTATGGCCACTCTGAGCATGGTGGTATTTTCAGGTTTGGGTAAAATCCAGCATGTGGCATCAAACTGAACTCACCAAAGCTTGGGAACAGAGCCATCGTCCCAAATCCTGGGTATGTTTAAAGAACGAAGAAAAAGAACTGAGCCCTCATTAGTCCAGCTTTGGAGTCTCCCCGGCTTGGCTCTCTGAGAATCCCCTGCACTGCCCCTCACTCAGGGCTCCTTCTCCCTTCCCCTCACCTCCCCACTTCTGCCAGGTCCTTCTTCACCCAGACACCCTAAGTGTAAGCTTTGGTAGAGCTGAGACTTTGATAGGACTATGATGTGAAACTGAAGTCAGTAGAGCCCCAACCATAGCATGTGACACCTCTCCAGACTTCCAGGGCAACCTCAGTGACCCAGCCTTCAGTTTTAGAGCTCATCTTGTGGGGGATAGGTGCTGCCGGTTATCTGACCACCCATAAGGAGCTTTGACCCCAAGAGTGAATGAAATGACCCCATTTCAGAACCCCACACATATGTACACTGACTGCTGTACCCAGGAGGGATGTACCCATTTTCTAGTGTTTGTTGGCTCTGCTCACACTCTTATTTGTGTTCTCAGGGAGTATTACATCACCATGGTGAAGTGGGCCACCAGCACCAAGGTCGCTGTGACCTGGCTGAACCGGGCCCAGAATGTGTCCATCTTGACCCTCTGTGATGCCACCACGGGTGTCTGCACTAAGGTACGGTACTGGGACAGAGAAGGGGTGAAGGGATGATCATAACATGGAAGGTATCATCCAAATTCCACTGGAGAAGTGTGAAGCCCAGTTTAGCTCTGTCTTGGACTCTATGTCCGTCCTCTGGTTTGGTGCCACCTGGTGGATAAATCAGATATTGCTACAAGATCCTGGGGCACATTAGAGAAGCAGCCATTAATCCCATTCAGGGGCTCTAGCAGGCAAGTGTCTGTTTCCCTTCACACTGGCCACTGCTCTGGGAATATTGTTCTCTTTTTCTGTTGCTCAAGAGAAGAGGGGACTGGCCAAGAACCTGACCCTTCCTCCCTTGCAATGCTGTAAAGCCAGGTACCCCAGCACAGGTAGGGCAGATCCAGGCAGACCTGCAGTGTGTCTAGGAGCAGAAGCATCCAAAGGCATCCTTTCCCCCTAGCTAGGGTGCAGACTTTCCCCTCTGCCCTGCAAGCCAGGCTTCCACATTGCTGAGCCACAGCCCTAAGAAAGTCACCTTGCGTTGAATTTAAAAGACCAAGTGACACTCTAAACAGATCTTCTAGAAACTCTTTTTGACCCTAAGTTTCTATTTATTTTCTTTCAAGCAAGAAGCACCAGGCTTGCCTGTGCAGGTTCACTGAGAGTTGTGAACCCAACAGCTAGCTCTCCGCACACTGCCCAGGGACAGTTCCCTAGGAGGTGGCTGTGACCTGCTCCTGCCTCTGACACCTCAAGTTGGGCTGACATTTCCTTACCATTACTGGAAGCACTTCTGAGTGTTTCTGGTGGACTTGCTGGAGAGAAAGGCAAGACAGGCAGAGCTCAGTACTGGACATCACTGCTGAATGTCCAAACCTTCCATGTGCCTGGCCTACTATGCCTACCGTGCGTGTGCCACTGCCACAGACAGAGCAGGAGCAGCACCAGCCTGGTGGCATCTCAGGTGACAGCAACCAAACAGAACAGCCATTTGGTGACCAGGCATGATTTGTTTGTGTACTTGTGAACACAGCTCTGGAGAGCAACTTTCATACATGCCTAGACCCCTTTTAACTGACTTTGTTTCCCAGGGTTGTTTCCTGGACTTATAAACTGGAGCTTTGATCCACATGTCCACTAGCATGCATTGCATGCACACACACACACACATACATACACCACACACACACCACACACCACACACACACACACATACACACCACACACCACACACACATACACACACACCACACACCTACACCACACACACAACACACACATACACATACACACACACCACACATACACCACACACCACACATACACAACACACAACACACACATACACACACACCACACACACACAGTTCCAAATGATGCAGCATCTGGCCTAAGAGGACACACAGACCCGTGACTGCTAAGTGGCCACACGCCCAGCTAGTATGACACCAAGCGCATACAGACTGGCCAGCGGTACCCACCCAGTGTCAGAAACACCATTAGCTTCCACAGGCTTCTCACTGCTGTGGATTACCCTGGTTGTTAAGGACAACGGCATTCTTCTTGCCCGAGGACACTTGTGCTGGGCTGTGAGCCACAGAGAGGGATTACTGCCACACTGAGAAGCCCCGGTGGCCATTGTGTTCAAGGGCAGCTGCCATGTAGGTAGAATTAAACCATTCTGTATACAGTGCATGCAAACAAAGGGCCCTTTCTAACACTTCAATTCTATTTCAGAAACATGAAGATGAAAGTGAAGCTTGGCTCCACAGACAGGTAACTCCACACACCAACCCCTCCCATACTCCTCTCGCCCTGACTCCTTAGTCCTTCCTCCACAGATAGGTAACTCCACACACCAACCCCTTCATGCTCCCTTCACCCTGACCCGTTAGTCCTTCCTCCACAGGGGTGGGTGCCATGGTTTCATACAAGGAGTCGCTTGGGTATCTCCACCCTAGGATTATCTAAGTGCATGTGCTACTGTAACTGGGACAGTGTGTGCCCAGCCCTCTCTTCATCCTGCTGGGAAGCTTGCTGGTCAGTGCTGTAGAAGCCAAGTTCCCTGGATAGTAGTTTGGAAGTCACTTTCCCCAAAGGCAATGGTGGAATAGATCTCATCTCCCAGTCAGATGATGGAGTTGGTGACCTCAAAATAGTGAGCCCAGAAAAGCCCACTATTACTCAGATGAGGTCTACGATGACTAAGAAGATGAAAGTGTGGTTGGTACCCCATTTATTTTTAGGCATGGTTTTATAGATGCGACCTCTCTTGGGGAGATATTTCCTCAGAAACTGGACCCCAGAATCATCCCTGGAATTTTGTTTTCCAATCCGTGACTCAGGCCCTGGGGGATGAAGATGACAAGAGGTTGCGGGTTTGAGTTATAGATCACTGGTAAAGCACTTTGTAAGCAATGTACCTGAGACCCTTGCTCCAGTCTCCAGCACTGAAACAGAGATGTCAGTCACTGGAGATCAGAAAGGGCTGAAGAGATGGCTTGGTAATCAAGATACACACCGCCCTTAATGAGGACTGTAGCTCACATCTCAGCCCCAGGTTACAACAGTCAAAACTGCCTGTGACTCTAGCTCAGATGAGCAGACACTCTCTCAGAGCCCTCACACTCACGTGCACAAACACGCACACACACACAAACACATATAGTTTTTAATTAAAAGTAAAAAATATAATAAGTCCTTAAAACTAAGAGCTATCGGGAGAAGCCTAGGCAAATCGCCCCGTGATACAGTATTTTGAATTAATGTACTCAGAGAACGGCCCCTCAGCACTGGTATTTTCTATCAATTCTATTGTCTCCACACTCTTGTGTTTAAAAGAACAAAGTTCAAGAAACTTACTTCTCTTTTATTCCACCTGAGGAAATGAAAATATCTTCAAATACTGTAAGAAAAATCAAAACAGATTTGAATCCAAAGAAGCATTGCGGAGAGGGCTAGGGGCGTCGCTCTGCAGCAGAGCCCGTGTTTTATGTGTACAACGCCCCAGGTTCCATCCACAGCAAAGTAAGAAAACATAACTGTGACTAACAAACACAGATTTTATTGACATGAAAGATTCTATCCATGAAGATACAACTATCAGCAGTGGCCCCTGTGGCACTCACTTCTCCGTTGCTATGAGAAAGCACGATGACCAAAAGCAATTTATGAATGAAGGGTTTATTTTGGCTTATCGTTTGCAAGGGGATAAGCATCCATGAGGGTGGGAGGCAGGAGAGAGAGGGGGCATGTAGCAAGGACAGGAAGCTGCGAGCTCATGTCGTCAAACACAAACATAGCGCAGAGAGAGCAAACTGGAATGGGATAGGCTATGGCTTTCAAGGCCTGCTCTTCCCCCAGGGACATACTTTCCTAGGAAGCTGCACCACCTCCCCAGACACCACCCCCACCAAGAACTGATGGTTCCTAATCCAGTGAGCTGAGCACCAGCACTCCTCTCTCTCTCTCTCTCTCTCTCTCTCTCTCTCTCTCTCTCTCTCTCTCTCTGTCTCTCTCTCTCTGTCTCTCTCTCTGTCTGTCTCTCTGTGTCTCTCTTTGTCTCTCTCTCTGTGTCTCTTTCTCTGTCTCTCTCTGTCTGTCTCTCTCTCTCTGTCTCTCTCTCTCCCTCCCTCTCTCTCTCTCTCTCTGTCTCTCTCTCTCTGTCTCTCTCTGTCTGTCTCTCTGTCTGTCTCTCTGTGTCTCTCTGTGTCTCTCTTTGTCTCTCTCTGTGTCTCTTTCTCTGTCTCTCTCTGTCTCTCTGTCTGTCTGTCTCTCTCTCCCTGTCTCTCTCTCTCTCTCTCTCTCTCTCTCTCTCTCTCTCTCTCTTTCTCTCTCTCTCTCTCTCTCTCTGCTTTTGGCTGTGTATGCAATGAGACCAGCTGTTCACACTCCCGCTGCCTAACTGTCCCTACCATGATGGACTGTACTATCGAACTGAAGCAGAACAAACCCCATTATCTCTTAAGTCGTTTTTAGTGAGGATATTTTTTTTTTTTTTTTAGTGAGGATATTTTATCACAGAAATTTTAAAGTAACTAATACATGTGAGATAAGGAGTAAATACTTAAAGTTATTAAAAAAAAATCAAGACAGCTCAAAAGTTTTAAGATATCGTATGTGTGTGCCTGAGTGCGTGTATGTGCACCATTTGAATACAGTATTTACAGAAGAGGTTATCAGTTCCCTTGGAGCTTGAATTATGGACAGGCAGTTGGAAGCTGCTGTGCGGGTCCTGAGAACTCACTTAGGTCTCTGAAAAGAACAGCCAGCGCTCTTAATTGCTGAGTCATCTCTCCAGCCCAAAGAGATAGCTCAATTTTAGAAAAATATGTATGGCTCTATTCTAAAACAAAAAAATCTAAATATGCATGTCTCAGAGAAAGATGACACAGGTGACCAGCAGAGATACCTGGGGTGGGGGGGGGAGTTCATCAGTAACTGTCAGAGAAATGCAGATTGAAGTCACAAAGTGAAAGAACATCATAGCTGGTGGAATATTATCAAAAGATGAAAGATGTGTATTACAGAGAATGTAGGAAGACAGGAAACTCCCACACCTGTTGGCGAGAACATAAGTTAGGGAAGCCTCTTCGGACAATAGCAGGGGTTCCTCAAACGGCTAGAAGTACAACCCCATTCCTGGGTCTGTATCCGAGGGAAAGGAAACCGGAACGCCAGAATGACTCCTGTGTATCACAGATCACAACAGCAAGGGACAAAACGGTGAGGGAGATACAAGATGCAGGAAGGAAGCGAGGGTGAGGCTATGGGATACGGTGACAAGTGGCAGAAGCCAGATGCAGAGGAATACACACTACATGTTGTTCATAACAAGTTACTCAGCTTGTTGTTATGACAAAGTACTGACAAATGCAACTTAAGGAAGGAACGGTTCTTTTGGGTTCATGGCCCTGTCATCGTGGATACAATCCACTATGAAGGTGTTATGGTGGCGGGAGCACAGGGCAGCTGGGCACATGACGGTATCCACAGGGAGGCAGTGGAGAGGTGGATGTTGGTACTCAGTGAGCATCCTCCTTTCTCACTCTTTATTCAATCTGGGAACCCAGACCACAAGATGGTACCATCCACAGCAAGTCTCCCGGCAGTTAACCCTGTTGGGAAACAACCTCACGGACAGACCCCCAAGTTGCACCTCAGTGGTGTTTTAGGTGGTTCTTAACCCGGTAAAATTGTCAGTCAAATTAGCCACCATGAACTGTGTGATCTCACTCAAAGGACAATGAAACGGGGGTCACTGGGAATTCGTGATGGTGGAGGAGGTTGGTTGGTTTCAGTTTATTCAAGACAAAGACAATCTACTGCACAGCATGGTCCAATCATTAATGTACTGTGTTCTTTTTACATTTACATTACATGTGGCTGGAGAGAAGGCTCGTTGGTTAAGAGCACTGGATACTTTTACAGAGGATCTAGGTTCTAGTCCCAGCACCCTCATGTCAACTCATCAAACATCTGTAACTCCAGTTCCAGGGGATGCCCTCTTCTGCCACCAAGGGCATGCCCGTGGTGCACATAAACTCATGGAGGCTCACACACGTACACATAAATTTAAAGAAAATAAAACGTATAAGTAGAGTCCAAGCTGTATTTGACATGAAAAAGTTCTGATGTATTCATTAGATCCACTTGATCATTCCTGAATGCCTACACAAAAGAGAGCAAAAAATACTCATTTTGTTTGATAAATATAAATTGCTGTTAGTTTAAAATGTCCAGCTATTAAGACATGAATCAGCTACTCTCCTCCAGCATGTGTTGCATGTGGCGTGCCACCAGGATAGTGATCCTTTTATCAAGGTGAGTAATATTCCATTCCACGGACGCTCCACAAGTGCCTACTGAAGGAGCCCACCCGTGGCAGACGTGGATGCTATACCACTGAGGACTGAAAGGAGCAGACACAAAAGGCCCTGTGGCGTGTGTCTCTTCCTCTAAAACATCCAGCATAGGTACATCCGAAGAAACAGAAAGCTGACCAGCAGTTGCCAGGGCGGTAGTTAAGGCTGTTTTGGTTGAGGGAGGGGCAGCTGTATGATGTCATGAGTGCACTCAATGCTCGGTTGCTCGATTTTGTTACAATGTTGTGCTTGTGAATTTCACCTCAATAGATTTGGGTTTTGTTTGTTTGTTTGTTTGTTTGTTTGTTTGTTTTAATGAACCAACGAGAGTATAGCTCTTGGTGATGTTCCCATCAAGACAGGGAGATGAGATGGCTCATAAATACCAAGGCATAAGAGTGAATTAGACACAGAAGCTGTGTTTTGGTGTTCAGCCTCTAACAAGAGGAAAGCCAGGGAAATTGGGGCTGTGGGGCATGGAACAAGCACAGGAAAATTCAGGCTGGGTTTGAAGGAAAGTACAGGCTCCAAAGCAAGCCTGTGTTTGAGGCAGAGTACAGTTCAGTGTCCTTGCACCTAACCCCAAGGGACTTCCCCTAAGGAGGCAGCTATTTCCTATCTGGTCTCACTCTGGCCCCTGGAAGGACACAGGGCTTTGTCCTGGGGCCCTGGGTGGGGATGGAGCCTCCAGCTGTCCTCCACTGTTTGCCTCCGCTTCAGCATGGTAGAGTGACCATAGCCAACACCAGCTGCATTTTCCTGTTTTCTGACTGAACATCTCACAATGTAAGAGAAAACCACCAGCAGCTCAAGCACAGGGTGTGAACATTGAACTCCCAAAAGGCACTCAGGAAACCAGGTCCTTTCCCAGCAGCATGAAGACAGAGGAATAGTAGCATTAAATTAATTGCCTTTACTGTTTTAAAATGTAAATTCCTAGGTAACGGAGCAAGTAGTTGATTTTGAAGACACAATCGCTTTAAGTGTGCCAGAAACCAGAACTAGAGAGAATGGCTTCGTGGTTTCGTGAGTGCCCTCAGTTCCCACTTTATGAAATGTTTTATTAGCGCATATGCTCTCCGTAAAAACACTCCTCTCTGGGATGCTTGTGGCTCTGTCAGGCTGCCCAGCCATTCACTCAGGACAGGCGTGTTCTACCCTTGGCTGCTGTGAGAAGCTTCAGTGAGTTTAACTATCTATGCACCGTGAAACTCTGAGGGGGTCAAGGCTGTCATGACACAGTATGGTGAATCTGACTACCTACCTACATACAGTGTTCTATGAGGGGTCGTACCTACTCAAGCTCCAGAGAAATCCAATTTCAAACAACTTCCTATTGCATCCTTTTTCCCTAAAGGGATTCGTGGACACTACTTTCAAAAATGGTCTGCATCCTTCAAGGTGCTGTGGTAATGCCAGGCAACATAGGAGCCCTGTGTAAAGGCTGGGCTGCCACCAACTGTCAGGAAGCCTCTGGCTGCTCCTTCAAGGTCTCAGACATTTCTCATCAGAGGCCACAGGCGTGGCTCAGGGAGACACACTGAGGCCACACTCCGCTGCCCATCCACTTCCTGTGTGTTGCAACAGCTTGCTGCACACAGCCCAGAAGACCCTACAGACGCCAGGGGACCCTGTCTGCTCAAACTTACCATTCTCCTCATTGCAGTGCTGGCAGGGTGGCTGGCACCTGTGCTGGCGACCTCACGCTATCATAGCCATCTGCATGTCCAAGCTTTGTGGTCTTCCCTTCTTTCCTTCTCCTTCCTGGACCTCACTAGGGTCCCCACAGAGAACCCCAGAAGCCAACAAGGGTACACATACATACACATAACATATGTGTATACCCTTACCAGGAACTCTCTTCTCTAAGGATATGCTAGAGAAACAGTAACTCTCATCTGCCCACATGCATGCCCATCACTGCTTCCAGACTGGCTAGTTGTCAGCGGTATGAATCCAGGAGCGCCCTCCAGGCTCTGCACACTTAGGTGTTGAAGTCAGAACTGCAGCCCAGCCGCTAGTCCTGTGGGTGAGTTTTCAGCTGTCTTACATCTTGAGCTAGATATCTGGTCTTGTGATTTCAGACTTTGGGCTAGAAGGTGAGAGGATAGAAGCTATAAAGGAAACTGGCAGAAGCCACACAGAGACTGCGTTCCTTGGAGGTCTGCTGCGGAGAGAGCTGGCAGTCAGGCAGCATAGCGAGGAAGCCAGAATCCCTCAACATCAAACAAAAGGCAGAACCTGTGTTCAAATCCTGGAGCCCAAGTCACTCTATCACTAAAAGTTTATTTACTAGACTAGGAAGATAGCTCAGCCAGGAAAGGGTTTGCCGTGCAAGCAGGAAGAGCTGAGTTCAACCCCCAGAACCCACACAAATGAACATGAGGCATGGTGAGACATTCTTGGGATCCCAACACTGGGAAGATGGGAACAGGAGGATCCCTAGGGCTTACTGGCCTAACCAAATCAACATATCCCAGGACAGTGAGAAAGAACACACATGCACGCACGCACACACTCAAACATATGTGCATGCACACATACTCACATACACACAAACACATTGGCATGCCCATGCTCACACACACACTCATACACACACATGCATACACTTATGCATACACAGTCACACTTGCATCCACGAATACACATGCTCATGCACACACACTCATACACATAACTCTCATACACACATGGACACATGAATACATATGTACTCACACACATATTCACACGCACACTCATGCACACACACTCATACACATAACTCTCATACACACATGGACACATGAACACATGTGTACTCACACACATACTCACATGCACACTCATGCACACACAGACACACTTATATGCACATATGCATATGCACACACATGCACATACTCGTAAACACACTTATGCACACACACAAAGTCATGTACGCATGCACACACACATACTTTTTTACCACATGGGCAACTTTCCAAACACTGGCCTCCTCCACACATTCTGGAAGGTTCCAGGGAGCAGTGGACCATGACCTCAGAAGCTGAGGCCTCTCGCTGTGAGCATACCACTTCTGTCCAGAATTAATCATATTACTTTTAATCTCTGTCCAAAGTGCAAACGTTTCCCCCAGAAAACTAGGGGACTCTTGCCTCATCCATTCCGCGGTTGGCAAACAAAAGTCCATCTAAAAAGCCAAATTAACGGCTGCTCCTTCCACTCCTTCCGTTAAATGCCACACACCCAACTCTAAATAGAAAACTCAATATTTGCAGATTAAAGGTTTCATTTTTACTGCAAATATTCATGAAGATTAAATGTCATTTTAACCACGTCAGTTCATTTCTCTGAGCACATCGTATTTGCATGTGTTCCTTCACTGTGGGGAAATGAGGTTCTCCTGGGCCAGCTGTGCTTTATTTACGGCTTGTCTGCATCTCTGGGAGCTTCTTGAATCACAGTATTACACACCTTAGCCAGTAAGTGGAGTAGCCAGTCATTGGTGTATACTGATGGAAACTTCCAGACTTTGGTTTTGGAATACAGTAGAGACACTACCATAACCCCGATGACTCTGCCCATGAGAGTGGCCACCTCCCACTAGGATAGGCTAAGGGCTGCAAGAACCTGCCTGCTCAGCTCTTGAGGTGCCAGGAATAGAGCATGGTAACAGGATACATCCGGATGGCAGCCCTGACCCCAGAGTTATCGGGAAGATATGACTATTGCTCAGACGGATGCACCACCTAGCACCTGCCTCTTCAGGATGTCTCTAGTGAGAGGCAGGCCCAGGTGGGCTGTCTGCTGTCTGAGTTTTAAAATAGATACAATTGGCCCATGTGGGTTTTGTTTTTCTTTTAACGTGCCTCGTTGGCGGGTGGTTCAGTGTGAAATAGATTTTATTAAGGAAAAGAAGACAGGACTAGAAGAGGGAAACATGGGGGTCTGTGACTAGTCTTCCCAGTTGGCTTTGAGCTGGGGTATGTCAAACTCAGTGTAGCAGCTTTGTGTGCTGGGGTAGGGGGTGGTTCACGGCAGCCATGGAAATCTAGTCTGTGTCCCTGGATTCGTTCCCACCTGACAGGTGTACTTGGTGTCTGCACAAGCCCATTTCTTCACTGGTTCTTGCATGCTCTGGACAACAGTGTTGTCTGCCTCTCTCTAGGAAGTGCATTAGCAGGGTGCAAATGAGATGCATATCTGTGTAGAGTACATGCACATGTTTGTGTAGGTGTGTACAGGCGAGTGTGTGTGTGTGTGTGCATGTGGAGGCCAGACATTGATGTCAGTGTCTTCCTCAGCTGCTCTCCGCCTAATTTTTTTTTAGACAGAATCCCTCACTAAACCTGGAACTCACTGAGTCCATTAGGCTAACTGGCCAGTAAGCTTGAAGGTTCACCTGTCTCTGCCCTTCCAGTACTCAGGTCACGGATCCTTGCTGGCACTCCCTGCTTTTTACATGGTTCTGGGCATCTGAACAGCAAGCACTTAACCAACTGAGCCATTCCCCAGTCCCTGTCTGTGGACTGAGGTGCCCCTTTCTCCCTCCTCTTTTAGAAAACCAAAGGTCTGACTCTAGTCCCACACAGACCCTCTCACTCTTCAGCTCCATCTGTTGTTAGACATTACACATAAAACACCTGAGAACACCCCCTCCACACTCACTTGTCATGCTCCCATGCAGTTTTGTGTTGACAGGACTGTCATCTTTGTCCACAGAATGAAGAGCCTGTGTTCTCCAAGGATGGCCGCAAGTTTTTCTTTGTCAGAGCGATCCCACAGGGGGGCAGGGGTAAATTCTACCATATCACCGTATCATCATCCCAAGTAAGTCCTCCTGCCTTCCATGCTGGTGTACTATTGGTGCTGGCCTTGTGGTGAGCACATTTGCCCTTCCCAGGACCCCAAGATGCCCTGGGAGATTGATGTTTACAGATGGGTTCCAAGGGTGAGAGTAACATGGCACCTGTCCATGTACAGAGGAGGGCAGCGTCTGGAGTGTAAATTCCCTACTGATGCTCAAGAATATGAACATGGAACATGGCATTTCTAGCAAAAATGGAGGGACATGGGAACTCACTGATGGATAGCAATGAAGATAGCCACTGAGTGCCTGTCTACCCTTCCTGACACTCTCCTTTCCCTCGAGGCCACCCTAAGTCCTTCACAGATCTCCTGCTACCCTCAGCCTCTACCCTGAGAAGCAGGTCTGGCCTTAATGATACCATAGCTGACACTCAACAATACTCATACCTGCTCTATCAGGCAGCCTAGGATGAGGGCTGCTGAGCAGGTAACCAGGACAGCTAGCAAGTAATGCCTCCCTAGAAGCCCAGGGGCCTAAGGAAGAGTTGCCTGGGTGCTGAGCTTTGAGACAGGTGATGAGGATGGACATGTACTTTACCCTTTATGTCACCAGTGCCATCTTCTGTGTACAAGTTTGATTTTAAACCAGGCTGAAGCTATCAAGAATGGTGCAAGCATATAAAATGTAATTAGGAAGAAGGCTGTTTGGAAGCATAGGTGTATCTGGTTAGACCCAGAAGAAAAACCACAGGACTATCCCCTCAAAAAATATCTGGGAGGGAGGAGAGAAGGGTCTTGAAATGCCTTGGGGAGGAGCCATGGCTCCCCCCAGCCTCAGCAGCCACGTCTGTTTTCCAGCCACTTAATCACGTGACTTACAGGATGTCCAAAACATGATTTTTTCTGTTCACTTTCTCACTGGGGTCATTCCCAGCAAGATTTAAAAACACAGCAAACAAACAAACAAACAAACAAAACTATGCTTTCATTCAGCCCCAGTCTCTAAATTCCTGCAGAGGATCAGAAATTGCTTGCCAGGCAGTGGTGGCGCACGCCTTTAATCCCAGCACTTGGAAGGCAGAGGCAGGTGGATTTCTGAGTTCAAGGCCGGCTTGGTCTACAGTGTGAGTTCCAAGAAAGCCAGGGCTACACAGAGAAACCCTGTCTTTAAAAACAAAACAAAACCAAAAAAATAGAAAAGAAATTGCTGAGAACCCCTTAGCATCCGTCAGGAGATGGTTCCCACCCTGACCCAGGCACCCACTCTTGTCCTGGCTTCTGCTTTCAAGCCCAGGACGGCACAGGCTGCACTGACTTTCTGGATCCCCATCCATGCCTATATCTTTATGAAGCTTGCTCCTGGGTCTGCAGTCCCTCATGCTGACCTCCATCGCCTGGGTTAGGCTCCATCCCTCTGTACTGGCTCCCCAGGACATATGCCATTCAGAACAGCTACCCACAGCTGTACTTCAGCATCCTAGCTGCCTGCATCTGGTGCTACGATGGCAGGTTCTGGTGACTACAGTCTCTGGGAGGCACCTGAGAAGTGTGCTAGCTGAGCAGGAGTCATAGTTCTTGTGGCACTTGGACCCCAGCAAGGATGGCAGAGGACATCCGAAGAACTACACTCAGTTCTTCCCAACTCCTCCCTGATTTGGCTGATTTCATCCTTCCCCTCACTCCACACACACTCTCTTTCCTCCATCCTGGGCCCTGACACAAACATTAAATTCACACGTGCATGGGCCTTGGGTGTGTATCTGTAGAAGAAAGTAGGATGAGGTGCCAGGAACAAGCCTGACAGAAGGACCATCTGATATTCCCATTGGGAACACTCAGAGCCCATCACAGAGGATGCTGGATTCAAGCCAGCGCATATGAAAGAGAAGCAAAGGGGGAGGATATTGCCTCATTTCTGACGGGCTCCAGAATGAGACACCAAAGCTCTCTCCTTCCTGACATCTCGTCTGTTTTTCAGCCCAACAGCAGCAATGACAACATCCAGTCTATCACCTCTGGGGACTGGGATGTGACCAAGATCCTGTCCTACGATGAGAAACGGAATAAGATGTGAGTGAGAGCTGGGGCTAGATCCCAGGAGCTGTCTCTGATGGCCACCGGGTCCCCTTGTCATTTCTAATCAAATATGCTGGAAGAGGGACAAGCACAGCTCCAGGGCCCCCTCTCTCCTCTGAGGTCATGGCACTCACCATTGTGACCTCAGGTCCTGACTCAGCCAACTCCCAAAGCTACAAGGCACAGTGACAAAGGAAAGCTTGTACAGACCAGTGAGGAGACATAGGTTTACAGAGGTGCTCTGAAGCAGCTGTTGATCGAGTCTCTGTAGACCCGGGCACAAGCTAAGGGCGTCCCCAACATGATCTCACTAATACTATGGTTATATGTTAGGATAGGTATGCTCGCCCACTGAAAAGACAAACTAAGATGTGCAGGGGAGATGGTTCCATCATTGAAATGCTCACTGTGCAAGTGTGAGGACCTAAGTTCAAGCCCTAAGACACACATAAGAAAGCAGGCATGGCGGCATGGCTTATAAGTCCAGTGCCGAGGAAGTAGGACTCTGGAGCTCGCTGGTCAACAAGACTCACCCAATCAGTGAGCCAAGTCCCAGTGATAGACCCTGTCGAAAAAGGAAATCAAATATATGGAATGACCTTGGGATGATACCCAGGGTCAGCCTCTGGCCTCTAAAGGCAAGTGCACACATGTGCCCCTGTACACACATACACCTGCATACACACAAACATACAACTATGTGCACATATGTATACACACACACACACACACACACACACACACAAAATAAAATAAATACCAAGATGCAGAAAGTTAAGCAGCTTTCCCAGATTATTCAGCACCAATCAGAGAGGTGCAGGAGTCTGTGGAGTCCAGGCCCAGTCCTGCACCTGATGCTGCTCGATCTCACTGCTCACCCAGTAGGTAATTTCAGGCTTAGGACAAAACCAGCAGACATACATTCCCTGGACCAGTATATAAAGTCTCCTTGCCCTCCAGGTTACTGGTCTATAGGGAAAACCCCATATTCACATCTAGGTGTGCCTTTCCACCGCCCTCACTGCCGAGTCAGTACCCAGAGCTGGAGAGACGGGTCAGTGAGGGAGACACCTGAAGCTGAGGGTATGACCAATATGTCCCTCTACCTGTAGAAGTAGTCATGAGCATTGCTCATTAAACAGGCCACAGTCCCTGACAGGTCCTATGAAAGATGCTAGGGTGGGGACTTGTAGCCTGTGAATGTTCTGAGGCAAGCTGACCCAGTCTACCTTTTCCATCTCTACAGCTATTTCCTGAGCACAGAGGACCAGCCACGGAGACGACATCTCTACAGGTAACTGGCTCCAACTGCCAGCAGGGCCTCCGGGCTGCACAGAGTCACGGCTCCGAGCAGCCCATAGGAGGTAGCAAGGACAGTTGGGTAACTAGAAAGCCTGGGGAGAGAGAAAAGTGCAGAGGCCATTAGACCCAAAGCCTCAAGTCTTGTTTCTGCTTTGGCCAAATCGGTCCTTGTCCTCACTCTTGCTCTCGCTCTCTCTCCCACTCGTGCACACTCACACACGCACGCACATTCATAGGCTCATGCACATGGACACACACACACACTTCTCCTCTTGAGGGACTCTGCCTGTCTGACTCTGTCTGCAAGCATTATCTTGGCAGGTTGCCTTTATCTGTGCGTTCTGAGGACAGCTGGGTCTGGTTTGGGAATTGACTGGTGGATGAGTGGAAAGGAGGCTATGCTTTTCCATCTCTGCCCATGCTCCATGCTTGCCTGTGATGGCTCAAGTTCACATAATGTAGAAAATGGATGGGCACACCAGGAATCCAGAGAGAGAGCGGATCTAAAATCACCTCTCAGCAGTTATCTTCCTGTTGCTAATCTCATGGGAGGGGGCTTCATTCTGAGGTAAACTTGGTTTCTGCCAATTTAGAAGAGGACAGTAGAGGACTTCCAGTCTGGGCAAGAGCATAGAGCGGGTCCCAGGCAGCAGCTCTGTACCCAACCTCAGAAAACCAAGAGGAAGAGGGCCTCCCAAGCTTTAACTCAGGCAGCATCCCAGGTAAAAATGAATCACCCATGATGTCTGCTGTTAGAAGTTCTAATCCAGAAGCCAGCCTCCGAAATTATACTACTCAGACCTTTGAAAGGCCACTGACAAGAACTTCAAACAGCTAGAGATTGACATCACTAATCTGAAGAAATCCCTCGTTTCACTGTCTGAAGAGACCTCGTAAAATCGCAAAGATCCTTATGGGACTCGATTTACTCTAGTACAATAGAAAAGGCTGTGTACAGCTCTTGACTGTGTACAGCCCTTAAAGAAGAATGTTGCCTTTACATAGACAAGACAAGGAGGGTTAAAGAGAGCATGAAATAGGTCAGTGAAGGCCCTGAGAAAAATCAGAGAGAGAAAGAGACAGATGAATGCTGGTACAAGAATTGGATTTCAGTCTCTCCAAGGTTGTCAACCCTACTTCCTCCCATCTTGGGACCATTATTTGGTTTCTTTTTGCTTGTTTCTGCTGGTCCCTGGGCCTCAAATAGGTGGACTAACTCTGTGATACAACAGATAAATAATTTGGTAGCAAAACCTATTCAGATACATTATCATAAGTTAGCTATGGAGGACCACGAGACTCAAGAAGAAGTTGTTACTTTATTCAGGGTGTTTCCAAAACCCATCTCCACCCAACCTAAAAGGGGGGACTTCTGCCCCTAGACCAAGCAGAGAGGGGCCACCCAGAACTGACTGGCAATCTGAATTCTTGCTTAGGCTGCGAGGCTAAGCACTGCAAGGGAATATCAATAAAAGATAAAAATATCTCTCTGGGTTCCCTGAGGGACAAGCCTGACTGCACAGGGGTTGATGTCAAAAGTATCCCCTCTCCAGGAAAAAAGACATCGGGATGGGTATGGCCCTCATGCCTCACTGGACAATGACAGGGGGACCGGAGCCATTACAAGGTCCCCTTCAATTAATGGAGGTCAGGCCTCTATCCCCGCCTTTGCAAGATTAGAATTGCCACAGCCCTTCTATACTTAGAGAAGGGAGGAGATGTCAGGGGCAGCCCTGCTTACACACTGAAGGCCTAAAATCAACCATAGGCCTAAAATCAGCAATAGGTCTGTCATACATGTATACTAACACCAAGTCTTGGGTCTCAGTGGAAAAACATTGAAACAGATGGCTATAAGCTAATATAAACAGGCAGCTTTTGTGGAAATCTACAAGCCTGAGTAGTCATAGACCTTGTAAATAGGTAGCCTTGGCAGACAATACCAACTTAGATAAGGTCAAGTGAGTCATAGGCAGAGTCATAGTGACTTGTCCCCTGAACCTTCACCCAGCTGATACCCGGTTCTGAAGATATCTGTATTCCCCCTGAATACCCACACTCCAGTGTCATTCCCTTCCCCACATCCTGCCTTTCTGTGTTTATAACCCCTGTGTGAATAAATTACGATTTGAGAAAAAATAAATTATATAAAAAAAAAGAGGACAGTGGCTATTTCTGGACACTTTTTAGCTAGAACAGCTGTAGCTGGCTGCTCCCTGAATCTTCAATGGCCACTAGAAGAGACCAGTGTAGACCAGAGAAGGCCCCAACATACAGGAGTCTCACCAGAGTACCCCACGCTGAGTATAAAGCTGGCATGAATAAGCAAGGCTCTGTAATCACCGGCCTGCTTCTCTCTAGACTGTTTGCTGCTATGGGCCTACTAGACTCATGAAAGTCAGGCTACCCACTTTATAATAAAGCAAGAAGACAGCCTTCTGCTCCTTGACCTGTAGCACCAGAAGCTTGTCTTCTCTCTCCCATAACATCTTCAACCTCAGGAAGAGAGGTTCCACACTGGAAGCTGTGGCTAGAGAGGACCCTTCCCAGTGCCATGTGAAGACAGGAGCTTCCTGGCCTAGATTAGACCTGATCATGGTGGTTCCAGGTGGCATCATCTTCAATTGGTTTCCCTCACTGTCCTCTTCATCGCCAAGCAAGAAGCCACATCAGTGCCATCCTGCTGTCAGGAGAAATGAGTTCAGGAAACAATCCATGCCAGTTCCTTGCCATTCACAGAGTCGTTCCACACCCCTTGCCTTTGGCACTTAAGGAATGTGAGAAACATGCCCACTGCTCCCAGATTGTCAATCATTTGTCCAGAGAGTCCCTAACATGAGTACAAAATGCCATGATCACTGTAGGCACCCACGATTACTCAAAGTGATGGCACTCATGACTGCACCAATAACTATGACCCCATCAGGTGATGAATGATAAACATTACCATGTAATAGTACCCATTACCACACTAGGCATTGGCACCCATGACCATACTAGACAATGGCACCTGTGACCACACTAGGTTATGGCACCCTTGACCACACTAGGCATTGGTACCCATGACCACACTAGGCATTGGTACCCATGACCACACTAGGCATTGGTACCCATGACCACACTAGGCAATGGCACCCATGACCACACTAGGAATTGGCATCCTTGACCACACTAGGCAATGGCACCCATGACACTAGTAGGCACTGGCACCCATGACCACACTAGGCAATGGTACCCATGACTGTAGTCTCCATACTCTGGTATCTAGCACCTTGCCTGCAATTTCACTGATGGCAAGGATCAGGAGAACTGAGAAGTCTCCAGAGTCTGGAGGAATTATGGGTTAGGAATGCTAGAAAATAGAGTTAAGTCTCCCCAAAGGGGTGTTGATGGGAGTAAAACTTAATGGATTAGCAGTGGGAGAGGTACCCTGCTGGGGAATTCGGGACTTAACCTCCAGGATCACTCAGCCTCTGCCTCGGTTCTCACTGGCTCTTTGCTCTTCCAGTGCCAACACGGTAGATGACTTCAACAGGCAGTGTCTGTCATGTGACCTGGTGGAGAACTGCACCTACGTCAGTGCTTCCTTCAGCCATAACATGGACTTCTTCCTGCTTAAGTGTGAAGGTGAGTGGCTGCCACTCCACACCTGTCTCAGGTGGATGCTGAGGTCTGCAGACAGGAGCACACACAAGACAAAATGGGAGTGATGGTAACATGGTGTACTGCAGAACCAGGGACACTGCTCATGGGGCAGGACTACATTTATCACATCTTCTTACAAAGCTCTTCAGGGGGTTTTCTCTGCACTGAGCTACTTCTCACTTCCCATTGTCCATAAAAGACCAGTAAGCTGTGAGCTACCTGAGGTATCGATCGCATAACTGTACCTGTGCTGTCTATAAAAAGGACAAGACAGGTCCAAGATCAAATATCCAATATTGAGGATTGAGATTATACAGAGAACCACAGAAATATAAGTTCCTAGAACCCAGCCCATTGATCCCAAGTACTCAAGTGTTCCTTACCTCTGTGTGTATACATGTGTGTGCATGTGTGTGTACCTATGTGTATATATGTGCCGTGGTACACTGGTAGAAGTCAGAGGACAATTTTTAAGGGTTGATTCTTTCCTTCCACCATGTGAGCTCTGGGAATAGAACTTGTATAGTCAGGCTAATGGAAAGCATTTGCATCTGCTGAGCTATCTCACTGCCCATGTAGAGTGTTTCTTATCACACCAACCAGAACACTCCATAGCAGACCCAGCTTCTGGTAGATGCAGAAAAAGGCTTATCTGTTGGAAAGATTGAATCCATAAGAAGGTAAGCGATAAATATGGATCTACACAAAAGAAGTCTCAAAGAACTAGACCTACTGTGATTCCCCTCAAGAGAGAGCAGATGTGCTAACGGAGGCTGCTAAGATCATGAGCAGGCCCCTCTCTAGCTAAAATGGCAGCCCTGGCAGTCACAGGGAAAGGTGGTGATTTTGTATGGTGGTGTGTTACATAGCCTGCTGGCTCCTGAATAGCTTGTGAACATACGCTGTCCTGACTAATGTTACCTAAAACCCTGAGAAGCTCAGACCCCAGCATTCTTCCAAGATGGAGATGATGTCTGGTACAAGCTTTCTAAAACACATCATTGCCTGAAACTTCCTATTTCCCAGTCCCTGACTCCTGTGCTCCTCAGACTGGTGCCTACAAAAGGATACTCAGTTTCCCATCATTCTTGATGACAAAGGATGTCCAGACTGTGGCACTACAGTATGTGATATCATCTTCTAGTCCTGAGCAAGTCCAGGCTAGAAAAGTAACATTAAGGTGTCGGCAGACTGGACACCTCTGAAGCCTGAGGGACGGATTCTCTCCATTGGCCCTGGCAATGCTTCACTTAAAGATGTCCCATTTCAGTCTGTCCCCCTACCTTTGCATTTCCATCTCTGCTATTGACTCTATTCCCAGAGATGCATCTGATAAAGACACCAGTCACTTGATAACTAGGGTGACCTCCTCTTCTTGAGTGAATTTGCAAAGGCTTTCCTTCTAAATAAAGTCACACTCATAGCTACTGGAGTTTAGGACTTCAGCTTGTCTTTGAGAGGAGAAACAAGTGAACCACAGTGACTCCCTTCTGAGATGCGTGTTGTCAGGGCTAGAGAGATGGCTGAGAGGTTAGTAGTGCATACTGCTCTTCCAAAGGACCTGAGTTCAGTTCTCAACACCCATACTGGGCAGCTCACAGCCACCGGAAACTTCAGCTCAGTAGATCCAGTGTAGCTAGGCAGCTCAGACACATAGGGCATACATATACATATAAATAATTTTAATATTAATAATTAACCAAGATGTATGTTGTTCTCTAATACAAGAAAGAGGTAACAGAAAGCAGTGCTCAGTGTTTTCCCAGGATCACAAAAATGGGCAGAGACTGCTCAATGGCTCTGCCACATCCTAGAGACAGAGAGCCCTTAAAGGACACATCATCTCCACACCACTGTTTGGGGTTATGATGTCAACATATTTGAAAAAGAAGAAGAACCATTCTAGTGTAGACTTTATCTAGGAATTCTTCCAGGTCATAAAATTAACCTGATGCTCAAGTTAAGTGTGACAAGGAGTCACGTAGGGTTTTCTCTTCCCAAGAGAACTTCAGGCCTCACAGTTCCAGAGTGGTGGTCAGAGAACCAGTGGATATGAATCCAACTATTTGCAAACTCAACTGTTCTTACCAAACTAAGTCCCAGGAACATGATTCATGTTTCCCAAAAGCACTTGACTGATCCTGATTCTAGGAAGGTCTAAATATCCTTGAAAAATGGGACTCACACTCAGACAATGGCTGCTTCATAAAGTCTATAAAAAATTTTCTTGGGACTGAGGATGGAAATATTGACTTCAGTCTGTTCTAGGTGGGAAAGGGAAGTCTGTGTTCATAAGCCCACTGGGCTCTGGGACCATCACCCTACACTACTCACAGTGCCCAGTGCTTAAAAGCTGTGTAATAGATCCAGTGGCTTCATTTAAAACAAGTTCTCCACCCTTAAGATGAATTCAAAGCCGGACGGTGGTGGCGCACGCCTTTAATCCCAGCACTTGGGAGGCAGAGGCAGGTGGATTTCTGAGTTCAAGAGTTCAAGGCTAGCCTGGTCTACAGAGTGAGTTCCAGGACAGCCAGGGCTACATAGAGAAACCCTGTCTCAGAAAAAAAAAAAAAGATGAATTCAAACAAAATGTTCTTAGTATGCTTAAAGCAAGTCCTTCTGATCGATATCCCTTCTAGTCCGAAACAATCCTCAAGGGTCCCTATAATCACACCTGGATGTCATCAGGTTCCAGAGAGAAGGATTCTAGGTCAGACCTACCTAGAATCTGGGCTCTGCCAATTATCTCTGGGACCAGGGCATGTTGGCTACCCTCCTCCTAAATATGTCATGAAAACTAGGGGAGTCTGGGTGACCAATGCTGTTGTGAAGACCAATCAGAACAAAGTGTGTGATACGCTTACCATTGTGTCTAATCTATCAGTTATGATCATTGTGATCAATCATCCACAGCTCAGTGACCATCAAAGGGCTTGACAACCACTTACAACCAGCTCAGTATGCAGAATTCGAGGCTGAGGATGGAGACGGCTAAGCTCCATGACATCAGCTGAGCCATCACACATATGTAATCACAACACAACAGTGAGCAGGCATGGATAGAAGGGAGTGACCAGGGACCTCCTGAGGAAGCGCGAGGGCCTGGATACAGATCCTCACGTATAGCAGTGTGTCTGCATCCCAACACTGAGTGGTGGAGACAGGCAGGTTCCTGGACCTCACTGCCCAGTCGGGCTAGCCAATCAGTGAGCTCCAGGTTCAGTGGGGGACCCTATCTCACAAATGAGGTGAAAAGTGATGGAGGAAGGCAGCCAGCTTCAACTTCTGACTTCTAATTATGCAACATACCTCCTCATACAAGCACAGCACGCATTTTAAAAATAACGGTGAGCAAGCAAAAATAATAAAATGGGGCGAGGATATCAGCCCCACTTTGAGGAAAGTTGCTGACCATGAAAATGAGTGGGATTCTAGGCCAAGTCCAGGCTCAGTAAAAACGAGTGTCATGAGGGATTACTTGGTAATGGCGTGAGGGATTGATTTGTGGTATCTGCCGTGCACTGTAATGAGGGAGGCGACAGCAGCCACATGGCATGTGTCTGTCACATTTAGGGTGATCATCCTCTAAGAACTAATGGATACCTCCTTAAAAAGTAAGCGTCACATTCCAGGTCATCTGGGATGGCAGCGAGGCAGCTGTACCCTAACCCTCTCCTACTACAGAGTGAAGCAAGACAGGCTATGGTTACAGACCTAAACCCCTAAGGCACTGTGTCCCCCTGAAGTAAGAAAGCAGCATGCCATGAAGAGGCAGGCATGAAGACTGGAGAACTAGGCCTGACAAGTCTAGACATTCCCTAGGGAGAGGTGTCTGCTGGGGTTTCTGACTATAGACACCTCTGTCTGTCAGGTGGCTTTTGGATCAAGCAGTGGACATCGCTGGCTTCCTCCAGAGTGGCTCAAGGTGTTGCACTTCAGATACTGGAAGGGCCCAAAGGCCCCGTGCTGAAGGCTTGCTTACCATCCTATAGGGATGTGGAGAGACAGAGTAAAGGAAGATGTTATGTCACTGGGGACATACCCTTGAAGGGGACCCTGGAGCCCTGGTACCTTCCTGTCTCCCTTTCATTCTTGGACTACTAAGAGGTGATTAGCTGTGGTCTGACGTTTCTACCAGGGTGCTCAGGCTCTCTCTAGGCTGTAACACAAGGGAGCTAAGTAGCCAGAGACTGAGTTCTCTGGAGCCACAACCTAAAATCAACCTTTCCTCTTTATACATTGGTTTTCTCAGGCATTTTTTTTTTCATAGCAGCCTGGCCTCTGCACGGCCCTAAATCAGCAGTGTGGGCAGGAGTACCCAGCTGTTTGCTAATAACTCTTGAGTACCCCGGGCCTGTGGAAATAATAAAGGTGTATTGCCTTCAAGCATGCAGAATGATTTCAGCTCCCAGACGCAGAGTTAAAAAAAAAATGTTTGGGATGGTAAGGTGGTTCAGTGGACAAAGAGACACTTGCCATCAAACCTGATAACCGAGTTCAGTCTCTGGAATACAGCCCCTGACTTCCTTCAGTTTCCACATATGGAACATGTGACATGCATATGTACCACATACACACTGTAACATGCATGTACACACACAGTGACATGTGTGTATGCACTCACAGTGAAATGCATGTACACACACACTGTAACATGCATGTACTCATACACTTTGACATGCATGTACTCATACACGCACTGTGATATACATATGACCCCACACACACTGACATGCGTGTACCCCCACACACATTGCGACATGCATGTACCTATACATACACTCTATGACATGCATGTACCCACACATACACACAAAACAAATTACTGTTAAGAAATCACTCAATAAATATTAATGACTTGGTTCTGTAAGCCACGTCGTCCTCTGGATGGCTCTTACACTGAGTTTCTGAGGCATTAACCTTGGCTGCCCTCTTTAATTTTGAGTGTGTTTAACACCAGGCTTGAGGCTCCTTAGAGTATT